AGGTGAGTGGTTAACTTTATGCCCCGACGTTTTACCCCCGGGAAAACAGCCTTCGGTACTCACAGGAGGGAGTCTGGGTGAACCCCATAGCCAGCCTGGACGCGGTGGGGGAAAAAAAAGTAAGGAAGTATACGCACAGCGTAACAATTATGTTGTGTTCGCCGCTCTCTTCCTACCTCTAAATGTCCAGTTAGTGAACGGTAACTTTTAATGTTTTCTTGCATATAGCATACAATAGTCGGGACAGATAAGCTAGGACTTCCAATAAAAAATTGTATCCAGCCCAACAGTTCTGTAGTTCTCACAGTATAAAAATCACTTTTATTTAATTATTTCGAAACCTTAAGACCTAGAGGAAAATTGTAGCCCTACTGGGCACTTTTCTATATTTTTCTTAACTTTTTTAAACCATCTGTGAGAAAAAAATTTCGTCCTGATTAATATTTAGCGAGTCATGTTCTAAATACGTGCAGAAAAGCATGCAAGTGTTTACGTAAAGTGTCCATCGTTTTTCGATTTTAACCAAAATTTGAATGTGTCGACAAATTTAAATAAAACTTTCTACAATTAAATGTTATTAAAGTCCATTCAGCCGTCATATTGTTGTTATATCGGACATACGGACGGAAAGACGAACATTGTGAAAATAATATGCATATTCTTGTTACGTCGTTCCGACTAAAAGTCCGCCAATAGCCTAGTCACTGCGTGTATCGACACAGCCATGCCGGATCCACTGAAATTACTACAGCGTGAGCGTAACAAGAACTCTGATTTATTGTTGGAAGGTACTACAGGAAAAAGTAGGGTATGATGTTTTCACGGCGGTGAGTCTGAAGATAGCAGTCTGCTGGGTTGTTGCGTCTTGTAGTCAGGGAGAATTTAACCGACGTTTCAGAGGTCCTCGCTGCCTCGCCCTGATAATGGAGGCAGCAAGAATCACTGAAACGTCGGTTAACTTCTACCAGACTACACGGCGCAGCAACCCATAAAACAGCCATCTTCTACTGCAGGAGACATTACAGTTCCTGACTTCTGATGGGGTGAAACTATAAAGCTTGCAACACAGAGTTACGCCTACCGAAACTAATTTTCTTTAAACTAACTCGTCACATGAAGGCGATAATCGCTCAGCAAATTAAATTTACCTTCTTACAGGGAGAAGTAGACGATCATAACAGCAGAACCCACTACCCAATGGAAGCTGATGGTGCCCCCACCAAGCCAGAAACGACGTTCTATCCCCAGGTCAGCTCCACACCGAGCTCCACTTCCGCTGCTTCAGGTAAGAAGCAGCGAAATAACAGTTGGCTATTTAAGATATTTTGCATTTTGAAACAATTAAACGCGGGCTTCTTGAGATGTGCACCGGGTACTGGTTGGGAAACCTGAAGGGAAGAGACCGCTGGGGAGACCTAGACGTAGATGGGAGGATAATCTCAGGAGGTATCTATCGGAGATAGGAGTTGAAGGAAACTGGATTTTGTTGGCCCAGGACAGGGACCGGTGGAGGGCTTTGGTTAATTCGGTGATGAACCTTCGGTTTCGGTAAGCCATCTAGTTAGTTAGTTCTTCTAACACCACAAAACAAATTACTTTGTAATCAATGAATAAATAAAATAAAAGAAACTATACTCAGATATCTGTAATACTACAGTGAGGATATTTGGCGACTGTTCTGGCGGTGCGGCACGGCATACCTGCCAGGCGCGATCACTGAGTCGGTTTCTGTTCAGAAAAATTATTTAAAAGCGAATTTAATTTCTGAAAGTCAGTTCCAAACGATGTTCATCTTACTTCCTATACATGCTAATGGAAAGAGGGTTTAGTTTAGGGACCTCGCACGTTTAAACTTGAATTTCTTGATCTAAATCAGAGTTTGAATAACTGAAATCTGGGTTCGGGATGCTGGGAATTGAATAAAGCAAGGTGATTCCAAAAGAAGTAACACGTTGTACTTTTGTTCCTACACGGTTAATTGTACAAATGCAAATTAAAAAGACCTGACTTATTGATAATGGCACCGTGTAGTAAGAAGGAATGAATCCACAAGAATAATTATGATGTGAGCAAAAATATTGACTTAGACATTGATAATTTTATTATTAAAACAGAGTTAGGAAACACTAAAACAATCCATTAGTTAATTTTCAATATAACTTTAGGTACTTTGACGGAGTGAGCATTTCATAGCAACGAACTGTTTCTACTGACCACTAAATCTTATCTCTACTATTCAACTCAGAACCGCATTCATTTATGCAGGGACCAGTTTTCCCTTTTTTAAAAAAAATTCTTCTGGGGTGCTGTTGAAATTTTTCATAATACACTGACAATAACCTACGGTTGCATATATTTGTTAGTTGTTTTTTTATGCTTCCCCGTGCCTTCGAGATATGAATCGCACGTTTCTTCACGTACTTTCCACTTCAAGACTTCGCATTTGTGGCAGAAGGAGCAGGCAGGGTGATTCCGTATGTATGACCCTCGCCTCTGGACGGCTAATTCTAGTACAAAGCCATGAAATCCGTGCGACCGTCCTGCGGGACTCTGTGATAGCTTTGTGAGTTTTCCGCTTCAACTTTACGACGCGAATGGTGGAGGGGGTCACGGGGTAAAATGAGATCCGAGAAACAGATGCCTCGCCTCAAAAAGTGATCATTTTACTCTACTCCGAGTTAATTGAATCGATTCCACACATCAATACGCCGTTTCTTTGAGGATTATTTTAATATAATCATTCTATTTATGACTAGGTTGCCTGAGCTATCTCTTTCCTTGAGGTTACCAGATCTAAACTACGTAACCTACGCGTTTCTAATCATCTTCGTATGTGCTACATGATCTACCCATCTACCCATCCCCATATATTTAATCACTACAAAATATAAAATTAAAAACGAAAATTATGAAGTACCTTTCTGCGCGACATTCTCAATTCTCTCTGTCAGGTCGAATATTCTCCTCAGCAGTTAGTCCTCTAACTCCCTCAATCTACGCGCAGAAAATCCAAGACTAATTCACCAACTTTCTTTTCATGACGAAAAGATCCCTGTTTCATGCGCTATATATAAATACGTTCACGATAATTGGACCTACCTCCACCGACAGCTAACCCTGCGGAGACATGGCAGATCGAGGCCTGACCGGCAGACCGCGCTGCCGACTGTTCGCGGTCAAGCAGGAAGAAATACACTCTGCATGTAAAGTTTAATTTCCTCTTAATTCTATTATAAACATCATTCTGTTTTCTTACGCTCGTTTTCAAATATCTGAACTTCATCACATTAAAAATAAATGAGTATCAAACCAGATTAATAGCAATATAACATAAGGTCAGTCCTCGAGAGACAGAATTCAACAAATTTACCGCTGGATAATAGACACACGAGCACGGCTAAGGGACACCAGACACCCCAAGAGAATGACAGGCCGAGGGTCAGTACACACACTTCAAATATTAACGATCGCAGGCCACAGGACACAGTGTCCTTCAGGATTTGTAATTGTGACTGACCATAACGCCTCATCAATAAAGCAGTTGAATTCGAGAATCGATCCTGCACGTCAGTCAGTCCACAGTAATATCTATACGTACACTACAGCAGCAAAATAGAGTTGAAGGGGATACCATGCTGCAGCGATCCCCTGTAAAGAAATTACGTTTGAACCAATTAACGATCTGAACATTACGACACGCCACGTCACAATATACGATCCACATGGAAACCTTGTGATCTTCTCAGGTGGAAGTGACAATATCGCCGCTTAGCGCAGGTCTATGAGCCTGAAATTAGGTGTGGTAATATTAGGTTACAGCCCTCAACTTCTGTTGAGGCAATAATTTTTGCAAAATTTATATTAAGCTGAACGTTTAATAGTGACTCCAGAATTCAAAAATATAACACCTTTCACTCTCACAGTTCGCAGGATTTATGTATTTAAATTCGAATTTTGTTTTGGCTTCGAACAAATGACTGTTTACTCCACTTAAATCGACCATTTTTACATATCAACCGTACAGACGCGGTAGCTCCACGTAAAGTCCAATTTTACATTATGTAGTTAAAATATCACATTAGCATTTAATGTTTTTCAGTAAGAACATTCAAAGTTTAGTCTCTGTAGATAAAATTATCTTGTTCCAGGAACGATCCTAACAATGATTTTAAATGGGATTGTCTCTTGAAAATCTCATATCTCATTAAAACCATCACTACATTCATACTGAATATTAAATTCATTAAATAACACCTTGGTTGAAACAAAATAAAAAATACAATCCTGGACTCCAACAGTTTCCCGTATTAAGTTAAAGTCAGAAATGTCTTAAGTCTGTCACTGAGTTAGCTCCTCCCCTCCTTTCAAATCCCCATTAATTCATCATCCACAGATGTCAGGTGCACATACGCTTTCTTAAAGGAAATGAAGGCGCAGCCAGGTGTCGCTTTTATTATTGCATAACAAAGCACAGCCAACGAGAACTGCGCGCCGCTTGTTTATTCAGTTCAATTATTATTTAAGCACTTCTACGTTGATTTGCTGCCTTCACAGAAGCGTGCCCCCCCCCCTCCAACCTCTTTGTAGGCTGGGTACACCTCGGAATGAGCACGCTATATGCAACTGAATAATTGCTGACAGTGTTTTATTTCACTACTCGTGGAGCAGTATCCTTTGCATTCCAGCTGAAAAATTTTATGTTTTTCTGAGTCACTACAGATGTGTACTGGAACTGTATATTAACACGAACCACAGCATCCAAAAACATTCCTTAAGCTAATCAGACATAATCTTCGTACCATATCACAATCAATCATAATCCTTGCAGCAGAAATAACTGATAAGAAATTTCAAGGTTCACGGTCTGCCTTAAAAAAAATTTCTGCTTTTAAAGAAAACAAACAATTAATCGTGTTTATTGCTTCTCTAAGATCCATTTAAATGTTTTCTTTCGGTCTACGCCCAGATTTCCACATGGACCCTTCCTTTGAGCTGTCTCAATAACAAAGAAATACATGCACTTTTCATTTTCACATACGTGCTACATGTCCATCTCATCGCATACATATTTATTTAACTACTCTAACAGTATCAAGAGAATAGCAGAAAACAAATTATGTTTTATTTTGTATTGCTAGTATTTTAAATGACACTGAATCCAATAATATCTGAACCAGGGGAGGAGCGTTCATTTTAACCGTGTTAGCACGACTAACACTTTCAAAAACGAAAAACAGGAAGTCTTACTTCCGTAGCTCAGTGGTACTCCATACACTGGAACACGCAGAATCGATCAGATATAATGCACCATCGGCCAGTTTACCAGCCAGGAGTTGTTAGCCAGCTGGTTTAAGCTTAGGCCACTGAACCACAAAAATATGAAAATACAGTTTTTGAATTCTTTTAAAATGTTAGCCGGGCTAACAGGGTCAACATGAACGCTCCACTCATAATCTTCAAAAGTACCAAGCCGATGGCGTGTGTGCGCAATGGACAGCAGTAACAGCAAAACAAGACTTGCGCTCACGACAGTAGACGCCATCTATAATGGAAACAGGAACAATGGAACAGCCTTGTTGCAGGTGATGAGCATTTTGGCTTCAACGAAATACCTGAACGGCAGTAAAAAGGCGTGAAATTATTTATCCCGGTTTTCTCACGTGCTGTGGCAGAGAATATGTTCCCGGCTTTTTCCTCTGTGTAATTAATCTGAGCTCACAATGCCTGCAAGCAACACGTTGAAGCCCCACTCCAAATTAGGTCCGTCACTTCTTTAATCTAGTGCTGTTTCATTAAACGCGACGTTTGTCCACCACCACTTCAAGAAGAATACGCGAGACAGAGGCAAAGCTTCACTCATTCTTAACACCTGCACTAGACGAAGGTGAGTGGTCAGTTTTAAAACACCGTCCCAGGTACCTACTGGAGTGGACGCTCAAGTTACCCAGGAGCCTGTCTGTGATGGTTAGAGGAAAAAATAAACACTTCTCCCCTTGAACTGATCCCCAATAATACAAACATTAAAATCCACAGATACAAGGTGGTCTCGAACAAAAGACCTTGTATAGAGAAGACCAGAACTTGACTACAAAGCCATCATAAGGCAGAACTATTGGACTTTTTTATTTTGCAGAAGTTAATGTTCAGAGCAGAGCATTGAAAGACATCTGGCTATGATGTGTTACAGGGATATTTGGGCTGATCGGCGCCCCGCGACGCTGGTTGGCGATTCTAGCGGTGCTTCTGGTAGCAATGGGAGTGAGTGTCGGAGTTCCGCTGGCACTGCGGTCAGGAAGCGACAGTGGCACGTCACTACAGCAGCGCTTGGAAGCTGCAACAAGACTCCTCCACGAAGTGCCACTAGTGGACGGGTGAGAGTGAATGAATAAAATATAATCTGCGATCTCGTCAAGTGAAATTAGTCAATGCGAACAGAGTTTTGGTTGGGATGACAAGGGAAGAGTCCACGTGAGAGACCTAGACATAGATGGGAAGAAAACATCGAAATGGACGTTCGAGATGCATGGTGTAAGGGAGTGAAACAGACTTGTTTATCTCAGAATAGGATCCACTGGCTTGCTCGTGTAAAGATTATGATAAAGATGACAAACCTTCAGGTTGTATAAAAGGCGGGATAGATGAGTGACTACCAGCTTCTCTAGAAAGACTCTGCTCCGTGGAGTCAGAGTTAGTTAAAGCTTTGCAAAACAAACCCCATCATCACAACCATCGACGCAAACAAGAGTAGTCAGCTTTATGGAAAATAAGTAAGAATTAATCAACCTGCACCTACATACTTCCTCCATCTTAAGGGGTGAAAACATTATTTCCATCTTCAGGGATAGAAATGGAGACAATATATTTCTCTGAAACGTTGGCTTCTACGGACGAGTTTACACGGCGCCTAGACCCACCGCCGTGAAAACCTCATATCTCACAACTCTTAATTACGTCTTCACGCAGGTACGTGAGAACATACATAATTTCCAACTAGCACAGAGAGAGAGAGGGGGGGGGGAGAGAAAGGTGTCTGACGACGAAACAAAAAGTTTTTAGTAGTCATACGAGGATCAACTGTGGTAATTACCGCTTATGTCAAACTGCTAGTGTCTAGAATTCTGACAAGCTCACGCCACTTTGCAGAGGGGAGTTTTCATAAAAACCAGTTAGTGGTTAATTGTCCACGTTCATTAAGCTGCAGTCGATTCATCATGCCATGACGCAATGCATACATAGGCCTCTACATACATCCAAGCCGAACGCTACTGTCGAGTGGTTAGAATGCCTACATCTTATTCGAGAGATTCTTGGTTCAATCTTCGGTCCGATAGGCCAGAAGCCAGTTCGACGCTAAATTACGAGGAAATGTCTTTTCACGTAAATTCAGAAACAAAAGACATACATAGCTGCATGTACACATATATACGTAAAATACTGTTATTCAATGACGTAGTAACGAATAATTTTACTCAGACTACTGAATTTCAGGAGATTGAATCCTGGTCACAATTGCTTCTGACAATTTGAAGAATGAGAATGACAATGATCAACTTCACATAAATTAAATAACTTCACAGAGCAGAAAGCTCCCAGAGAAACTAACACTCACTCAGCTCGTCTAAAATTCTCCGCCTTTTATGGAACACGAAGGTTCATTATCGCTTTCATAACAGTTCTGACTCCTGAATCCAGTTTTTCCCCTCGTAACCTATTTTCTTCAAAATACCTTTTTAATACCTTCCTCCCATCCATGTGAAGTTCTCCCTTCAGGTTTTTCAACTGATATTCTGTATGCATTCTAATCTATTCCATGCATGCTACATGCCTCGCCATTCCATTCTCCTACCTAAAAATATAAAACGTTGAACACAGAATAACAAACCATAATTTTACTTGTTCTTTGGTGTGGTTGTCAAACGTAGACGCGTACCAGTAAATATAAACATTAATTATAGGCGTAAGTGTAAGGACAAAAAGTGTTCATGAAAATACTTGGACCCAAAAAGGATGTAGTGAGCAGCTTAGGGCGAAACAGAACGTAGAATTTCAAGATAAAGGCCTATAGGCCTATATTAGTCACTTAGTAGCCCTACTATCTTGAACGCACATATACACGTAAACAACATACGCCTATATATAACTGAAGGGCCCGATGCTGAACTACTTGACAGCGTCGTTAGATTAACCACAAATAAATCAATAATAAATATAACTGGAATTGTCACAGTAAAGACAACGGAAATGAGTTTCTACATATGCCTTCTTGATTTCTATCAGTGGCTTTCTACTGCCGTGTTGGAATCCCAGTCCCAGTCAAATTAAAACACGCAAACACCTATCGTTTATGTGTTCCAGACATAACGATCTGCCGTGGAACATTCGCAAATTCTTGCACAACCGACTTCGAGACTTCCGTTTCGGGGAAGATCTGCGTAAAGTGGTACCTTGGTCCAGAAGCCCATGGTCACACACAGACCTGCCTAGACTACAGGCGGGATTGGTTGCGGCACAGGTCAGTACGATCTTATATTGGTTAATGGTCTTCTTCCCTGCACAGCAAATAAATAAATTTATAATAATAATAACACATAAAACGTTGCAGTCCAGTGGTTAGCACTCACGCTGCTTATTCGGAAGATCCCGGGTTCCAATCTCAGACGGAAAACCGACTTTCCCTTCTTTTCTAATTCTCTCTAGGAAAATGCTAGAGATGATGCCTTTAAATGAGCCACGACTGCTTCCTTTCAGGTACTTCTCAATTCTTCATTCACTAGTTATTTTATAATTCAACGCTATACGTCAGTAACCTGCAGGCCGCATGTGGCCCTTAGAACATTTTGGTTGCAACTTTCTCTACACACATTTGCTAACGTTTATTTTGTAAGACAAATTGTATGAAATCTAATAAACGCAGTGTTTCTTGAGTTGTTTTGAAGACACGAACCTGACATTGCAGCATTACCATTCAACATTCAACACCTAGTTTCTTATTAAACAGGTAATAATTTATTAAAAATACACAAGGTGATAGAAATATTTTTTTAAAAAACTTATTACATACTGTTAGCGTGTAAAATTT